AGTTCAAACCTCAATCATGTGTTTCTCTCATTTGGTACGAATACAGAGCAAGTACCTTGTCTTAGCTCACGCTGCAGAATTGTTTTAAAAGCGGTCTCGAAGGTTCTGACAGCTTTCTCGGTTAACAGAGGACTTAGTAATTGGTCTATTTACAGTATAATGTTACTGAACAGTCTGCTTATATTAAGTTTTCTGTGTTTTTTATTAAAATATTTTGCACATTTTCCGTCTGCATTGATGTTAATTTCTTTCCATTGCACGTAAAAGTGTCTTTCCAGGTATGTACTGAGGAGAAACTTATCAGAGTTATAATTGAGCAGTAAAATGTATCGAGATAAGTAATTTTTATTATATTTTTATATTCAGATTCCAGGTAAAAGTGTTTGATTCATTGGTTGGGACGGTGCGAAGGGGATTCATCTGATTCACGATAAGGGTCAAAGGTGGGCTTTTGTGAACACAGTAATGAACCTCCGGATTCCATTGATTAAACTAAATTTTGCTAGGAACGGGCCTAGTGCACTCGTTTTGAACCTTCAGGTTTTAATGTCTGAGATTAACTTATCTCTGGAGTATTTAACTACTTACCAGGTCTGTATAAATGCTGTTGACAATTCGTGTTTAATTTTTAATGAAGTATTAGTAATGTTATTTCCGGACATGTATGTAAGTAATGTGTGATTTTATATCGTTTTTGACACAACATGTGGCCAGTAGTGAGGTTAAAGTTTCGTGTCATGTACATTTTATTCTTACATCATGTTCTTTTCGATATGCCTATAGAAACACTGAATTGGATGTCATGAATAATGAATACGTACATCACAAAAAAAAATTATTTGTGATAACGCTGGGAATTTTGAAATTATAATTTGTTGAAGTCGTTCCCCAAGTAATATGAACTTGGCCACATTTTCAAAGGATTTATTTTTGCTTCGATGATGTTATGATCTTGTCCAGTTGTCTGGTGACGAGACATGAATAATATAGCCCTACTTATCTTTGATTTTCCTTCCCGAAAGTCTTACTTAATTACATCTAATAGAGCTTCTGATACCCACTAACCCTGCTAAACCCTGCTAATCTGTACGATGTGTCGGTAATGCTCCTACCTACTATCATGACGTGTTGCGTTGTCTTCCATAAGCTCTCCTAATGAATGCCAGGATAATATTTGAATGCGAGAATATCGGACTGCGTTGTCATTACCTCTTTTGCACGTAAATTTTATCGAGGCCATTCTTAAGTCTGACGTTGTTTTGTGTTTCTTTAGATCCACTTGAAAATCTGAACAGCTGGACGAATTCTACAGTACATAAATGCATTAAACCACTCATCTCGATATCTGTTACAAAATACCTGTCCACGTTGTTCTGACACTGAATAAATCGCAGACCCTAACTAGACATAAAGACGACCTTTGGACAAGCATAATGAAACATGAAAAGTTTCGAAGGCCAAGCTACTTGCTTCGCCTATAGGCCTCAACTTACTATGAGAACGTGTTCTGATACAATGATTTTGGGGGCATAGATAAGGTGATTTCAGTTCTAACTTTGTGCAAGTTCTGTCTTCATTTCTGCCAAATTTTTGACGCCTAGAGTCTATACCTTTATTTTCTAACGCCATATAGTCTGAGATAAAAAAGCACTCTTAAATAAATGACAAATAAATGAATAAATTTGCTGAATGGAACTGCGTGCTGTATTAATTCTTATAAAACCCGACGTTTTGTAACCTGTTTCAGAAAAACTCGCAATTGTATGATATTCTGAGTTGAATCACGTCGTCATAACTCATTTTTACTATTATCCATTTTAATATTATTCTACGCCTCTATTTCCAAATAGACTTAATGTTATCCCATCAACGTCTTACGTAACGTATATTTAGAATTTTTCACTCGATATTGCGTAATTAAATCCGAACCAAGGCGAATGGTTATGTGGTAAGAAAGGGAATTATTCATTCAAGAGAACACTTTGATTACTATAGACATCGCAGACTTTGGCGCTCAGACACGCTGTTTGTAGAAATATACAAAGCGAACTTACTGCTTTATTTTGCGACTGATAGGGGCTCTTGTAGAAATGTTTTGAAGGCAAACAGGAGAGTCATACTTAGGGACGTAACTAATAGTTTGATAAGAACGGGTCACTACAAGCGCCTATTGGCTTATGAAACCTCTTATCAGCGCGTTGTTGATAAAGTATTTTCTCACATTTTATCGAGCTTAACTCTGTCTGCACTTTGACGGACAGTGGACTAGACTGGCCGTACTGAATGTTTGACTTCGGATTTCCACAAAGGCATCCGTCAGTGAGACGCAGGTCTGAACGCGGATGGTGACTTGAATGAGCTCAGTAGATATGTGATCGACCCACAGCGGGTTTCTGTTGGACCACCGTTTGGAATTCAGTCTTTAATCATTGATTCACATTGCAACGTCAATCAAGAGACTTGAGCATCTGAACTGTTTGTGAACTTGACTTCTTCTGCTGGTGGTTGAATGATTCCTGACGCTACGTCACACATTGCCCGAGTAGTAAAGAGTGTTGCTTCTAATGACCACGAGCGGATATGCAATATGGAAGAGGCGTTCTTGCGACTCGTGGCTGCAGTTTTATCTGGAAATTAAATGAGTAGAAGAAACAGAAATAAAAGATACTACGGGAAGAGGGAACAACTGTAACCATTAAATGAATCACATGCGAATAATGCATCTCTCATACTGTTTGTTTTGTTACCACAGATCCTGAGATCCTTTACTCTGCTTCTAGGTTCTAGAATAAGTAAACATTGGACATTTTCATAATTTTTCTATCGGTTTTTTATATTGCTATTTTATTTCTGCCACAGATGCTGCTAAGATCAGGCAATGCCATTTTAAAGTAACTGTAGATTACACGGTCTCACAACCCAGAAGACACACGCTGTTGCATTCACCGCTGTGTAGACGTTAAATCTCGTTAACTGCAGTAACCGTTCACTTCCTAAGGCACCATACGTCAGTGACTTAAATTAACTCCCACGCGAAAATAAATTCTTGTGTTAAATTGAGATTTCCACATTCTAGAGTCGCCCCGTTTATGGCAGGTGGAATTTATGAAACAGATATTGGATATAATCCAGGTAAAACATCTGAGCATGATGTTGGGTAATTTTTACTTTCTGGAAATTGCAATATTTATCTTCTCGTAAAAGTGTTATTGACACTAATTACGGGACCAATAAAGTTGTTTTCACGGTCTGGCCATGAGCCAGTTTTACGTCTGACGTACTATATGGTCTTTTGGGCACTACGGCGGACCTTGGACCACTGGTATTATGAACAATGGTCATTGACCCACATGTAATTGAAGAAACTGACGTCTTTACAACCTACGGTCCTTGGTTTCAATTTGCATTCTACCTTCGCTTGAAATGTTTTGTGAACTGTACTGAGGTGTTGAGATTATATTAAGGACTTTCTGCTTTTCGAGGAAGCCGAATTTGGTAGAGAACTGCAAAGAAAGGTAAAGACAATGAAATAAAGAAGAAGAGAGAGAATGCAGAAATAAAATGTCTGTAGTAAAACAAGAAACAATGAAAGAGATAACATGAAGAGAAAGGAATAATAAAACAAATGCAAATACGCGGGACCATTATATTTAGTACAATTAATTAGAATTAATAATTTACCCACTTTGATAACATGATAGCCAAGAGAAACAATTTATATAAATTCTTAGACAGTCAGTTGATATGTAGATCAGTTGCTTAGTCACGTGGTATTTCGATTAATCGCTTAGTTTGTCAGTTACCCAAGAGTTCAGTCAATTTTTCGGTCATGTAGTTTGGCAGTGTCCGTCATTGCACTGGCTTGCCAACAGGTTAAACGAAACTAAAGACCTATATCTGAGACAGTTTAATGAATTAAGTAAAATATACCTGTCAGGAAGGTTAAGCTAATTTAATAGATTTAGATATATGGAACGGAAACCATTTATAAACGGAAAACTATAAATTAATTTAATGCGCATCTCTTAACCTGCTCAGAGACATCAGAATATATGTATATTGTCCTTATAAGAAGACAGGGATCTTGATATCATGGGTAATACTTGAATGTCGTGTTGTTTAACATATAAAAGTGTATTAATCCCTGTTTATAAATAACCATTCAAAGAAAACTAATTCCTACGCTTTTTTATGCTCTGTTGAGAATATATTTGTTTAACGATTAACTTCGCCACCGACAAGAAGTGGTACAGATTTCACGCACGCCAAGTCGTTTTAATGATGATTTCCTCCGAGTCGAACCGGACTGGGCGCGGAGTTTCAAAAGAAAGATGTTAGCCATGTAGGCTTAAATATACGCCGGTTTATTCCACCTCCAGTCGTGTCATTTTGGCGAAGTGCACAATTTGTAGTGCACCAACAAATCGACCATGGACTTTACGCATCTTTTTTTAAGTCGAGTTATAAAAACGGACCGTTCTTCAAACCCAGATATTATCCGGCGTAGTAATAATACCCTCTCAAGGCAAGTTCATCCAGTGAAAATAATATTAAATTTTTACAACTTTTCGTCGGTCTGTAAACAAATATGTATTTTGCAAATACAATTAATACATCTAAAGGTGCAAAGTTCTTGATTAACTTTTATCAAAGTATTATTAATTTTTTATGATGATATTGAAATTGTTTATCGATAATATACGCTCCATCATGGAAACGTTATGAATTGGATCAAATCGTCAATGTGTTCATGGGTCCAGTTATTAAACCGTGAGCATGTTTGTCCCATCGTTCTGTGCTGTGCTGTGGTGGTAAAGGAATTTCGATGGTCCCGTCTTCCGTCAAAGAAGCTTGTCTCACACAAAAATTAGGAAGAGCCTACAATAGAGCAGAACAAAGCTCGAATTGAGTTTCTGCGCATGTAAGAAGAATAATTTGAGTCATGCGTCATGGCTTGAAGTGGCCTATCTCCCCCATCAAGACGATCTTTGGAGTCGCTGGCTTCGAGGCCCTGATGAGGCAGTACGAAGGACAGTCTGTGTGTGTCCGCCGGGCAGAGAACGACTCGAGGAGAGAGAGCTTGAAGACAAGATAGGTCTGATGTTTGAGTTTGTTTGACGTGACTAGTCCCACCGGACCCTGAGACTTGGTAGGTTTGATTGATTTGTGTCTCTTAGTTCTATTTTTAAATTTATATATATATTTTAAATACATTTTGGTAATTTTGGGAGTTAATTTATTTTGTATTTTTGGGTTAACTCCTGTAATAATTCTATGACCGTACCACCTCCCGGCCTCTGAGATTATTTTAATCCTGACACGGTCGCCGGTAGGGCGCAAATTGGTAGCAGAGCGTGGTTACGGATTTTTGTTTTTTGGTATTCAAATTTTTTTTAACGATTCAGGAGTTATTAAGAATGTTATGGTGATCGTGCTTTTGGGGCACGGTGTGGCACAGATAGGTCGTCTAGTGGCCTGCCGACCTTGCCTGCTTTAGCTCTTGTTTATTCTTGACCGAGCTAGGGGAGAAGTTTGTTAGGTGGGGCGTTGAATGCGTCCCGACGGTAGGTCCCCGGGGGATTGTAGGATTATCTTGAATTTTTACGGAGGCGATTTTGTTTGTATATTTTTTATTTTTATTCTCTCGTGGCTCCGACAGTTGGTTGGGTCTCCGGCCTTTGCAAGGAGGACCTAGTGAGGCTGTGCTAGAAGTTTCGGGTTGATGCGACGGGTCCGCTGTCCGTGCTTCGTGGCTTTTTTGAGATCGCAGCAGGAGCAGGAAATTTAGGCGATTCTTGTGGAGGTAATGGGACGTGGATTTCCGGTTGACGTTAAATTGGCTGAGGTTCAAAAAGGTGATCTCCCTTCGGCTGATGAGCTAATACCCGCAGAGAATCCTACTCGTCCTGAGGTAATGAGTAAGGGGGTTCCTTTGAATCCTCCTGGAACGTCCTCCGTTCACAGCCCTCATATGCACGTGGCGTTAGGATTGGTTAAGTCCATGTATGCGGTGGACGGCAGATCTCCGAAAGCATTGTTGACCTTTTTGATGAAGGCCAATTCGATGGTTAAATTGAGCCTAGTCAGGGAGGACGAAATCCTTTTGGCCGGGTAATGCAAACGATGGGCGATTGTTTGAGGTTTAATCTCGCGTGGACATTTTAGACTCCGTGGTTAATGCTGCTGAGGTTTTGCCTGGTTTTTCTCAGGAGGTTAAAATTGTGGATCTCATTCTACAGAATATGGATCCCGGGCAGAGGACTCACTTTGTTTTTTTATAAACGGCCGAGGGCAGTGTTGGATTTATACGCGTTGGGTCGTGAATTATCTAACTGTCTGGTTGCCGGTAGGCAAAGGTTGGACGCCCTTGGCACAGTGTCTTCGACGAGTGGTTCCAGCGGTTATCCACCCTCTCGTCGTAATTGAAACGACTTGAGGGAAGTGCCTCTGCCAGCAGGCTAGCCGGAGAAGACTGCCCGATGGACACAAACAGACCTCTAATCTCCATTATCATGCAAGGTACATAGAGGTACTCTATTATATTTTATGGTATTTTGTAAGCAATACTATTGTGATATGTATAGATCTTAGATGGGATGGCCGTCATAGATATAATAGATATAATATTTAGTTTAAGTGCTGGAGAGTATTGTATCAATATGTTATAACTCTAGAAAAACGCCTTTGACATTGTGTCTGTCCTCCTAGGCGAGATGTTTCCGTTTGTAATCATGGAATTATATGGCACGTTACTTCACAACTGTGTTGGTCGCGTTGCGTCTGTTCACCTGAGCGATGGACAGCTCCGACTGAATTCTACTCCGTGGCCTGCGGATGGCGTCTCCTCGTGCCTTGTTAACCCTGTGCCAGTGCGACATACGTCGGACTGGACTTGCTACTGTGACCCATTTGGTAGCGGTCGTCTCAAGGAAGAGTGGATACATTGGCATAATTCATATATATTTCTTTTGAATGGTGTTACATAAGCTGTCATGGAGGCTCGGGTTCCATTTGGGAGAAGTCCGACAAGTACGTTGATATGCATTTTTTTTTTTTTGACTTTTCGATCGTGACTCTGTGTCTGTGTGTGCACTTTGGGTGCCCTGCTGTCAGGAGGAAGGTACCCTGAAGTATATGTCACGACAAAGCCATGAAGAACTGTCTACAAAACGTGTGGACTAATCCTCGTTGCCAGAAGTTGATTCTACGGCTTCCTAAAGTCTATGCAATTGGTTGCACTTCCGCTCCTGTCTCATCTTAAATCGAACTCTCGCTGTTGCCAGTTACATCTGATCGTAAAGATGACTTCTCAGAGGACATACATCGCATAGTGGCATCTCTTCATTTGAGACCAACGTGTCTGGTCAACCCCGAAGGCAGGGAGCTGTTTAATAGCGGACCGGAAGTCATCTTCGATCCAAACAACACTCATTTTGACTTCACACTGACATTTTCTTCCATTTTATTTTAAAATTGTAGGAGATATTTAAAAATTAATTAATGTCTTTATCAAATAGGCTGTTCTGTTATGATTCTCAGGTTTATGACAGATTAGTTGCTAGCATCAAATTTAATAAAAATGCCAGTCATGGGGAAGAAAGACAGCGAACGAACAAAAACATATCAAATTTAACATGTTCTTGTTCCACTGTAAAATGTAACTAAGTGATGTTATCCCATTTCACTTGCACTGAACTTACAGGAGTTAGATCATTACAGTATCTCCACTTTAAATATTTTGCAAATCTTGGTCACCACAAACTACTATGGGAATTTCATTGTACTATATGAAACTTGCCTCACTCGATGGTACCTGCACCTTGTCGTGGTGGTGGGGCTTGAGAACCTCGATGACCCCAAGAGCTATACTGGCGGTAGCACAGCTACTGGTAGGGCCTCCCTAGCCAGATTGGTCGAAGGGGAGAGGTCAGACTAAGACAGGTACCCTGGTCCTCCAGGTTGGGGGTTGGTCGCAAGGCTAACAACCTTGCACCGTAAAAAGGAACATCAAATGGGGAGGCCATGGACCGAATACGGACCATAGAGCCATAGAAAAGGATATGACATTTGACCATCGTCTCAGAATTGTTTGACTCCCATCAATCTCTGTTTGTCTTTGTTCCGGCTAAGCACGCTTCCTAGACCAAGCTGCCCTACGTCATTCTGTCCAAACGTGAGCACAACACCTGGTGTCTTGGTATATGGTGGCTCTGGAGGAGACAGACGTAATTTTGGTTTTCTGACGTGTTTTGCAGTCACGCCAGGCCCTGTATCCTGCCCTTTCATAACCCTCTTCTGCACGGGTATGCTGTTTTATTCTGTTGCAGAAAATTCCTTATCAAAATTCACAAAACTGTGAACAAGATGACGTTACGGTTTAAAGTCCGTACAAGAAGTTATGCATTTGTATGTTCAAACCAGTTTCTCTGCCACGGATTCTCACTGCAGCTGTCAAGAGTACATGCTTGAAGTGGCCTATCTGCCCATGCCCATGCCCGACGATCTTGCGAGGCCCTGATGAGCCAGTACGAAGGACAGTCTGTGTGTGTGTCCGTCGAGGCGAGAGCTTGAAGACAGTTACGTCTGATGACTAGTCGTAACCCCGACCGGAACCTGCAACTTGGGAGGTTCGATTGATTTTAGTCTGTTTGTTGTATTTTAAATATGTATATATATTTTTTTAAATACATAGTGAGAGTACATTTATTTTGTATTTTTTGGGTTAACCCCTGTAATAATCCTATGACCGTACCACCTCCCGGCCTCTGGGATTATTTTAATCCTGATACGGTCGTCGGTAGGGCGCAAATTATAAATACTTATTCGGTCTGAAGATGTCTGGCTGTCTTCTGTGTTGTTGCGCCATGTAGTGTAGTTGAAGTTTATCGACGTTTCAGAGGTCCTTGTTCACAGACTATACAAGTATTTTTTTACAAATCTATTTTAGTGTTATCATTCCATTTACATGCGATCTATCAGGTAGCCTCTTTCCAAGACATTTTAAAACCGGGATCATGGATGCATTTGTTGTTCCCTCTTTGCATTCCACAATAGTCTCATGTTTTATTTGTAAATAAGATATGACTTTAAAGACCCGAGGACACGGTGTCTTCTCTTTGCACCGTGTTCACACCGAAGCTGAAGTGCACTCAGCCTCTCATCTCGCGCTGCTTCAAAGACTTGAACTTAATAACAGGCAGATACATCAACGTAAACAGCACTGATGAGAGAAAGCTTGGGTTGAGCGAACCTCTTCCGGTCAGCTACCGGAAATCGACACTAGGCCTCAGGGATGTTAGCAAACCGCATGGGGCAAAGTGGACGCGACAAGTCCTGTTTCCCCCCCCCCCTGGCGTGGCGAACTGACAATGACCTGGAAAGTTGCGCGTTCGGTCAGTAGGACTTAATGGACTTGGCTTCGTGTCAGTTCGTTGTTTTTCATCTTCCTGTTTACGTTTATATTAAGTAATGGTTATGTGGTGAAAGATCTCGCCAGTACAACGGCTTAACTGTGTTTTAGTCGAGTCTTTGTTTAACATTTTCACTTATTTATTAATCGTTTACATTCGTGTCCTTCCAACTCGTTATCGGCCTGCAAAATTGTCACCTTTTAACTTGCCAAGTGACTAAAGGTTTTACATATTTATTGTCTTCATATTCAAGGTATTTTGTGCATTCAGATCACTACAACCTGATTCGATCGATTCGCTAATAACAGAACCAAAATGCCTATCAGTTTTATTAGAAAGCAGAATTTTCCAAACGTAATTTAAGTTGAAGCCTCAAATGGAATATCAAAGAAGAAATCGATGAGCTAAAGGATTGCTGGAATTCCGAACGGATAGTGGAAAGATCCAATTGCAAATGGAAAGTCTGAACGGGGAATTCCAGTTAATTTCTCTTAGTTCACTCTTTGTACCATCATCCTGTCGTATCATTTATCATTCTTCAATGAACTGAGTAATTGATTCTGCTTCGTAAAGTAAGTGAATAAGGAAATTATTTTATATAAATTTTACAATTTACAAGTATCATTTTTCTGCGAAATGCTCTGTGCAAACACTGCAATTGACGAAACATTCTTAACTAAATTATCAACACAGAAATTCAGTGGGAAGAATTTCAATCCAAACAATTTTTAAGAATGTGCTTTTCACATGCTCGAACATGGAGCCCATGGAATTACGTCAATTTTTTTAAGTCGACCGTTCTTCAAACCCAGATATTATCCGGCGTAGTAATAAATTCAACGCGATTTCCGCCTGGCGGTTAATGGAAGTTACTGTACTTCCCTTTGAATTTGCTTAGAAATCTCGGGCATGTTCTGCGCAGAAGTCCTTTGTTTCATAAGTCGTCGTTCCCTCATGACGGAGACAATGCCAGCCTTCGAAACGTCGAACTATTCCGAGTTGACGAGCTCGTCGCCAAAGAATATTATTTTAAGACTTATATTCTTCGTGGAAGCTTTAAATCTCGCTGGTATATCTGCATGCGTCCACTCCAGTTTAATCCTCCAGTGGTTGTCCCGTGCCCGACTTGTGACAGAACCTGCTCTTTATCTGCACTAAATGGAGCTTCGCGATCTATTACAGCATCCGGTCCGACGCACGGACTGACGGACAGACAAGTGAGGTGCTGCAGGCGCGAGCCAGGCCCAAAATAAACAAAAGAAAGTAGAAATCATCAGCTTCTTTCAGAAAGGCTACTATGAACGTTAATTGAAGAACAGTTAGCATAATCACGTGTGTGTGTGTGCTCGGCAGAACGTACAGGAAGCAGGACAAGGTTTTTGCAACTCCTGGAACTTGTCGGCATTTATGTTATTTGTATCTTTTTTCCCCCCTGTTTTCATTCTTATATTCTTTTTACATTCGTGTTTCAATAGTCGATTTAGATTAATGGCTTGGAATTGTTGATATAACTTAGTCGGCATTGCAGTGAGCTTACAGATCTTTACCGTGCCGAGGCGGGATTTCTTTTATTCATAGGCAGGAAACCATCTTGAGATTGTCTATAAGTAACATTACTTCTGATGAAATGCGACATTGATAAAATTGACCAATTAAAACACACTATTGATTTATTCATTCATTCTGGTGAATCGATATGGGAACTTTAGAGCAAAAGTTGAATGTAGAATACGGATTTACATAACAAGAATGTAACAAAGCGCAATCCTACATCGATGCGAAGACAGGACTACAGCTGAGATTCAGAACGAAAGTTTTATGACATGTGAAACATTTCAAGATTTTGAAAGTCAGAGGGCGCGGGTTACGAGATTACTTAATCAGGCATCTCGAATTATCACTATTCCTTTTTCTGTAGTATTTATTTTTTATTTATTTAGTGTTCTGTCTGACGACAGGTCCATATGAACAGGATCCTTCGATCCTTTTCTCGGACTGGGACCTGTTCATATACGTTCTTGGCAGATGATCCAGAAGTGGTTTGCCATTGCCTTCTTCTGTGTGTGAATGGAGTAATTGTTGGGATGCCACGGAGAAACCGGGGAAGCCCCTGGAGGAAAACGTGTTGCCTAGACCACGGCCTTGCCCAATTTTGAAGAAATTTGTGGAACTTTAAAGTTCAACATGATCATTAAGGTTCACTGCAGAGTAGCTTGGCCATCCCAGGGACTGTTACCTTCTGGATAAAAAGACTGTTCCTTGCAGTCAGAGCTTTCTGATAAAATTTGAGCCTCCCTATAAAATGTGGTTTATGGTTCCTTACAAATTCAAGTAAATTAGAGATGTCTCTCCCCTTCTCTCCGCCTGTTTCCATATTCCTCCCTGCACCCCCTCATTCCATTTTACGTCGTCAGTCTTACATAACACTTGAATGTGCAGACATCAATTCTTTAGAAAAATCCCAAAAAGCCTTGTAAATACATTACGAGAGTAAAAAGTTTGAACTGAGAAGTTTGTGATGGAGAAGGAATTTAGACACAATAACCACGAAACTAAGAAACTTACACATAAAAATGTAAATTTCTCTTTAGTTAGTTGTTGCCGGAATATCATTGATCCAGAATAGAAGTAGAATTATTTTAGACTACAATACGTAGTGTAGAACCTTAAAACGTCATCCACATCTTCACATCTTCACATCTTCATCAGCACATCTTCACAGCTGGTAGGGACTGTGAAGGAAACAACAATCCTTTCACGTTCTCCACTTTGTTGGCTGTCATCAAGACTGCAAGAGCTGTTGTCAGGTCTACATTTTAACTCAGAATGTCGAAGTGCGCAATCGCAAATTCGTAGCGTTCAGAACGTATCGATATGACGGACAGCGGAAAGAATCAGCTGATTACAATCGCAAAACGGTAATTGGGAATTGCGCTTGGAAAACACGTGACTGTCAACCAGAGCTGTTTCGAGGCTGACAGCGTTGATTCAGAGGAACATCAAATCGCGACGAAAATATGGTATATAATGCAATGACGCCCGCTAGATGTCTTCAGTTTCCTCAAGCCATTATAAGTATTAAGTTTTTCTTTGCCTACACCAACGTGAAGAAGGGACATTTCTTGTCTTATCTGTATCTTCATCTAACGTTGTTAGGGACGTGTTTAACCACCGGCTCAAGGCTTGTTTATTTGGAATCAGCTTATAAATTAAATATTATACCTTTCATTAAATCTCAATCCGTGAACCGGAAGCGATTCATCAGTATCTTTTCAGTCTTAATGCTTGGTGGTATGAAGGCTTTCATTTTATTATTCCTAGACGCTTATCCATTTCCTGGATACAGCACTAG